TATATATATATATATACATATGTATTTTTTTTTTTTTGTAGTTTCCATCAACCTTTTCTAATGATGCAGAAAAAATATTGATGGATCGTTTCAGACCAAACGGATACTAAATTATTCACGGTGTAAAAACAACTGAAAACTTATTTTTAGGATTTTTAAAGTCATGAATGAATGAAATCTACAAAAAAAATAAAGTAACTAAAAATTTTTGATGGGATCTAATGTTAAACCAAAGAGTTTCACTTTTACCCAATAATTATTCTTTAGCCTGTTTTAAATGAACCAGGGGGTCAAACCTTAATAAGAAAGTTATTACTGGATGGTGGGTGACATGCATGTCTTTCAAATAGGCAACTTTTTATTTACTCTTAATGGAAATCAGATTTTCTTCAGCTGATTCCTCCTGTAAGCACAGAGCAACGTTTGTTTTTGTGTTCATCACGCTTCAACATCTTCCTTTTAGTTTCTTTTAGACTCGTCTGAATGGAAACAACTGAAACGTTTCAACCAAGAAGTTTAAAACCTTTGTTTCCACTCACTTCCTGTCAGCTGCAACAATAAGAGCAGGCATGTTTGTCTCAACTGAAAACTGATTTGAATAATTAGAGCTGTGCATGTTTTAATTTCAGAAAATAACATTACAATAAAGTCATCTTAGTTTCTGAGTGATCACCTATTTAAGCCCGTTTAATAAAAATAAAACGATTTTGACATAAACAAGCTGCATGTGTGCAGCTCCTGAACTCATCAAAGCTTTAACTTTGAAAGATATGCTATAAATTAATTTTGTCAGACTCACTGCTGGAACTCAAATCAAACTGTTTTTCCTCCAATCAGAGAAAAACTTTCACTAAAATCATTTTTTTTAGGCTGGAAGAAGTTTCCTTCTCTCTGCAGGAAATACTCGTTTTGTTTTGTTGGATCTTTAACAAAGCAGCTAAAATTATTTAAAAACATCATTAAAATGAAGTCAAATCAAACATTTATCTACATTTATTTACAAAATCTACGTGACATTACGCGACGCATAATGTCACGTAGATTTGGCAACACTGGCTTTCCATAGACCTGGAAAGCATGTGTGTTCATGTGTTCATGTGTGTGAACGTGTTACTGGAGACAAAAAGCTGCTCATG